GGCGGTCGGATCGCGCCGGTTCCAGGCAGCTGCGGGCAGCCCGCGCTGTGCCCGGCGTTCAGCTCCTCCGCAAGCCTGTGCAGTGACTGCCTGGGGTGGGCGAAGGCCTCGGTGTGAAGTCACTAGCTGCCACAAAAGAAAAGCAAGAGATGTGGGCAAGGGGAGCGGGAATCGAAGGGTTTTCCTTATTTTAGCAGGGCTTTCTGAGATGCCCAACTGCCTTCCCCGACGCTTCTTTCCTCCCTTCTGTCCTTTTAATGTCCAATAAAAGTAATGAGTCCAAGTCCTCTGTGTATGGTCTTTTTCCCTCTCGCCTACCTGGCCTTTTTCTTGGGTTCTCCAGGTGCTGAGACCCCTTTTCCTTGCGGATCCAGGGCCACTGCCTTTGAGATTAGACCTCGAAGTCTCACCCCAGCGCCCGCCCCAGGGGATGCTCCGGCTGCCTAAAACAATCCATGCCACACGCAAATTTGTGAAAAACCCCACACGGCCTCAGAAGCCTGAAAAACCTCAAAAACTCGGGAGGCCAGCGATTTCAACAACGGCGCATTCCGTGTTGGTTGGCCTAGGCTGTGTGAGTGTGATCCTGAGATTAGTCTCGATCTGAATATCGTTTTTACAGATGGAAAAAATAAGGTCGAGATTGAAAGGCACAGCAAGATAATAAATATTTATTTCTACCTAGAATGGCTGGAAACGGTGAAGGTAAACGGATTGTTAGTGAACTTGGAGATGGTAGCGGCATGCCTTATTGAAATTTTAAACTAGTCCAGAGTGCAGAAGGCTTTTGTTACAGGGGTGGCTGGAGGGCAAGGCTCTTTTCCTAGTTTTTTTGTTTTTTGTTTGTTTTTTTAAATCCCTACGATTATCATCCCCAGGTAACTTCCTGTAAATTCCAAAGAGAATGAACTGATTGTGACAGTAAGGACTTGTACTTCAATCTCGTAAATACCTAATTAAAAGATTATTATTTTTAATAAATCTTTGCCTTAACTTTATAGTTGTGCCTTTTTATTTCACTGTAGGGTATACGCGCGCGCGCGCGCGTGTGTGTATGCACGCACTTGTGCGTTGGAATCCTGGATAAATGGATGGGTTTGGGAGTGGAATGGGAAAAATAGAACCCAAATCTCAATGACACAAGACACTTTTCAGAACTGACTCCTGGGGAACATAATAGGATGGCGCAGAGGGGACAGGAACGCTGCAAAATTCACTTTGCACATTCAGGCCTAATTTAGAAAACATTACAACAAAACATTTCCTCATGAGACAAAACACTAAGTTTACATTAAAGCATTCTGTTTATAATCTGAATAGAAAGAGAGCGAGGTTCATTTCGTGACTAAAGGCCTCTGCTTTTATACGTTTCCGTTTTGATAGAATGCATTAATTTACCATAACATTTTATAGTTTCAGCTGTGTCAGTAGTCCAAATTTTCAGAAATCCTGACTGAGCCAAAATTTTATGCCTAACAAACGCGACTGTAGAATTCAACAGTGCACATTGTTTATTTCTTGGTTAAATTTATCCTAATTTGGGATTAAAAATAAGATTGTAAATATTTTTAATCAAAACCTTCCTGGGCCGCACCGCCAGCTTTACGAGATCAGAAAGTGGAGCAACAGCGCTCTCTAGTGGTCAAATGCCAACTCGAGCGGACCGAGTTTAACTTCCTTTTTATTCGTCTCAAACCAATTCTAATCTTGTGCTTCAGTTTGACTGGGGCTTGGACCGCTGACACTACTAATACTTCATCTCTCTGATTGTCAACAAGTCAAGTACAGCAAACGGAGGGAGGCTCCTGAATGTTCGGATAGTCTCATTTGTGTTCCCAAGAGCTTCCAGTAGTGTCTTTGCCAAAATCTCTAGTTTTTCTTTTGCCAGACACTGTAGGTTCCCATTTTGTAATAGCCCAGCTGTACCTTTTATACACAATTATAGGACAAGCTAGATTTAACAAAAATCACAACTTCTTAAATATCAATTGCCAAGAGGTTTTTTTTCCAAAGGAGCCAGCATTTTGACAGCTAAGAAATTGTGGAAGTCAAACATTGTTACATTTTTCTCTTCAAGCTGTTATCTTTGGCATCAAATTATAAATATTTGCAATTTTAAATTTTAAATTTTAATGTCTTAGGTCCATTTAGCTGGGCAATTTGGGGCGGGATTGAAGCCAAATTAAAAGCTTTCTGCTGGATCTCTGAATGTCTGTCTGGAAAGTCCCCTTCGGGTTTGTATCCGTTCAAATTTCCACAGACAATAAATGAGATTTTAAATTTTCACATGAAAAGTCTCTAACTGAACTGCATTGACTAAGTATTGCACTTGAGTATTTTTTTTTAAAAGCAAAGACTATTCAATCAACTTAGGTGTTTCCTGTTTGCTTAATTTTTTTTCTAATTTTCAAAAATTCTTTCTGCCAGTTCAAGTGTTAACAACTGTATATTTAATAAGTGAATAGATATAAATTCTAGCATCTTTGTAGTGAAGTTTGGAGTCCCAATTTGTGTGTGTGTGTGTGTGTGTGTGTGTGTGTGTGTGTGTGTGTGTAAAGGCGTGAAGCTTCATTTTTCCCACAGACCACACTTCTGGGCGGTGTTAGCCTGAATGAATGGCCTGCTATCAGTAACCTCTCCACTTCAAATCACGGAGTGTTTGGTTGTGTTGTGTTGTGTTTTCTTAAAGAACCAGTTAGATGTGGCCACAGTCAAAACCAGAGTAGCTACACCTCATGCTCAGCCCATTAAAAAAAATGAGAAATACATCGCCTCCTTCCTCCTGGTCACTTTATCTCCTAGGTGCTCGCACCTCACTCTGGGCTCCCAAGCCCCTGCCTGCTGCGTCCAACGCAGTCTTGTTTATATTTTTATTGTCCAGATTTTAAGACCTAGTTTTGTCTGCATTTTTCCTTTCCTCTCACAAACATCAAAATGAGATGGTTTCAAAGCGAAGCGCCTGGCCGGTTGTAAACTCATTACCCCCAGACGTCTCGCCGGCTGGATGGCTTTATGACACCTTGGCTCTTCCTGTTTTCAAAGGGGTACCCGGCTGGCCGCAGGGGCGGGGGTACCAAGCACCTTCGGCCGGATCTGGGCCTTGGCTTTCCCTCCCAGCCCCCCTTCTGCTTTTTCTTCGAGCCCCCTCTTTCATCAGGATCCCCAAGATCTCTGCCACCTCCCCCGCCTTCCGCCCAGCCCAGGCCAACCGGCGCCACTGCCTCCTCTAGGGCCTGCAAAGGCTGTGCTCGCCTGAACCCTTGCTTACAATGACCTTCATTTTAGCCTCTGAATGTGGACCTCACAGGGCCAAGCTGGGGGCTAAACATACACAGAAGCTGGGTGGAGGGAAAGGGGCGGTGGGCTGAGGGTGGCCAGCCAGAAGGAGCGCCTTGGCCATTTTGATCCACTAGGTCAGTTTGGGGCTCCGGTGAGCAGGGCTGGAAACTCACAGCCTAGCCAGCCTGGACCTCCCAGAGCCGGCGAGCCCTGAGACTGAGACCGGGAGAGTTACTCCAGAGTGCAGAATTGGCCTTTGCCTTGTTTGGAGACCCGAGTTGTCAGCTGAGGCTCCATGAACTGTGGAAGGCATGGGGTGTGGTGCGCTGAAGCCAAAGCAAAAGAGGGTGTCTGGTTCCCGGGGCCTGCCTGCTGGCTGCTGCCAGGCTGAGCCTGAGACCAGGGCACAGAGTTCACTGAGGCACTGGCACCAAGCTGGGGAGGCAGCAAGACCCCCACACCAAGGGAGCGTGCCTGCCTGAGGCCAGGTCTGTCTGCACAAAGGGAAGCTGAGACGCACATCAGAGAGACCTGCCAGGTAGATGGGTCCCGAATGCTTAGCAATGCCTCCCCACCAGGGGACAGGGCAGAAGTCTCAGGAGGGTGACATTTTGCAGAAAGACAGGAGAGTAAGCACACAATTTCAGGGTCAGCGTCTGGGCTCCATTTGATCAGATCAGCATTTATTGGTAGGAAGCGGTAACATTTACAACTGGTCCTTGGGCAGGAACCTAGAGGGCCACCGCCAGGCTGCCCACGAGATCCCAGCCCTCCCGGGGAGAAAGCAGCTCCTCCAAAGCACTCAGGACAAACCACGACCCACCCGAGGCCCTGGGCTCCTCTCTAGGCCTCACTCGTGGTCTCTGTGGAAGGCCCACAGGATCCCTGAGGAAAGGGGGCTTTTGAAACCCGGGGCCCACCCAGCTGAGCTTCCGCCTGGGCAAGCAGCAGGGGCGTCCACACCGTCTCCCTCTGCCTTCAGAATCCCAGAATTGGGGTTCCGCTTGGCTCTGCTGGGGCAGTGCTGAGGGCTGGGGGACTAAACTACAGCACATTTCGGAAACATGGGAGACATTTACACAGGAGAGGGCTCCTTCGGCCAGCGTGCACTCACAAAATATAGCATTTCCTAAGGAATCAACGGAGCAGGAAAGGGAGGGAGTGGGTAGGCGAAACCCCACAGTCACTTGGTTTCTTCAACACGTAAGCGAGCAAATACAGAGTCCCCCAAATACCTCACAGAGACCAACCACACAGTCACTTCTACCTAATAAAGAAAAAAAAAAATGTCTGAGTCGCTGGAGAGTTTCTGGAAATCAAGCACCCACAAAGAAAAACCCCCGCTGCCTCTGAGCGCTCCTGCGGGCACCGCGCTGGGTCAGTCTCCTTTCGGGCATTTCTCCTTGCTCATCTTTTTCATTTTCATCCTGCGGTTCTGGAACCATATTTTGACCTGTCTCTCTGTGAGGTTCAAAATCCTGGCCACCTCGTAGCGCCGGTCCCGGGTGAGGTACATGTTGAAGAGGAATTCCTTCTCCAGCTCCAGCGTCTGGTATTTGGTGTAGGGACAGCGCTTTTTCCGGGTGGAGCGAGCGTGGATCCAGTTCGCCGCGGGGTTGTCTACGAAGAGGGGGGTTTGCAGAAGAGCAGCGTGGGGCGTAGGGGAGGCAGGGAAAGACGACAGGGTGGGGAAGAGAGGTCGTTAAATTAATTTCACTAAGGATGGCCGCTTTTCACAACTCGGGGGGAATTATCATAAAAAGCCTTAATGCCCGCGCTCTGTTTACCGTACAAACCGCGCGCCCAGGGTAGGTGGTTATGGGAAGGTTTTTTATGGATGCGTGTTGCTCGCCTAGGCTTGGGTAGGCGTCTAGACGTTTTTATAGGTTAGTAAAACTATCAGTTTTGCACATTCGAGCCTTACAGGTTTCAGCAATAAATCAGGGGGCAATTTCTTTTGCACTTACTTGGGTCAAGTTGCTGCGGCGGAGCCTGCGGATGCTGCTTCTCCTCCTCCTTCAGCGGGCAGCCTGGGCTCGGGTGATCGCTGCAAGCCGAGGGCTCCGAGGAGCCGCCCGCGCCGGGCCCGGCCCGGCTCCCCGCCCCGGGCCCGGCTCCCCCCGCCGCCGCGGCCGCCTTGTCCCGCAGGAACGAGTTGCACGGGAACTCGGTGCCGCCGCTCCCCTGGGACTCCCGGGCCGCAGAGCACTCAGTCCGTTTGGAGGAGGAGGACGAGGAAGTAGAGGAGGAGGTGGAGGCTGCGGCAGGGGCCGGGGCCGCTCCGGTTTCAGGCTTAATCCCGTAGTGGCGCCCGTTGGCTGGGCCTCCGGGGCCGGGGCTGGGACCGGGGC